ATGCCTGCGTTTCCTAAACAACCAATCAGGGCTCTCCCTTCAAATTTCTAAATATGGAAGAGTCCCTCCTCTCTCCTTGGAATTCTACCTGGGCCTTCTTCTTATTTTGGTCAACTGATCTCCTTCCTACTTTGTGATTGCCTCTCACCATCACTGCCCAAGGGGCGTGGAAAGTCCTCCGCCCTCCCTGAAATTTAACCTGAGCTTTCTCCTCCCTGGTCACCTCACCAAACATGTCCCCCAAGGGCTAGACGTGGTCTAGCCCAAACAGCTACATTTTAATTATCGTTCAAAATTCTTTGTCATTGTATGTGGTTGTTTTCGCATCTGAAATTTATGATTTTTCTCCCATCATCAACCCTTTGGTCAACAAGTGGCAAAAAGGGAGCAATCCCTTTTATTTTGAGAAGTTTTAACTCGTTTCGGCAGACGAAAAATTTAATTGTCATTCTTTTACATATGTTCTTCCAGGAACCCATCTGCTCTTAAAAGTTAATCCTTATCAATCGACCGAACTCGCAGCCAGAGTTTCATCTGTCTCTTTATCACACTACAATAAAAGACACGGAGCAGAGTAACCCAAATTAGGTTTTATTCAGCGCAACAGAACAGTGCAAAAACTATTTATAAGCAGGCACAGTTCATTTTTAACGAAAGGCGTGGGGAGAGAATGTTCACCACAATCTCCCCTGCTTCTAGAAATAATTAGTGCCAGTCAATCAATATTAAGGAAAGATTATATCCTAGCATGATTTATTTCAATTTTTAAGTATCTCTTTTATAACCCTATTCGATTTAAAGAAATCAACAAAAGATTTAGTCATAAATTAAGCGTAAAAATCTTATCGGTTTCTTTCCAGGAGGTCCTTGGGCCTCCAGAATAGCTTATCACTTAATCTCAGTTCTAATCGAAACCAGATGGTCTCTTTGTTTTACCTCTCCGGTGGACGAGAAATTTAATTACCTTCTTCGAGTTTTTTTCCCAATAAAACAAATATCCTTTTCTTTCATTGTCCTTCGTCTGGCCATCGGTATATCTTCAGTCTATCGGAATTTAGCGCCTTTCCAATACTGTCACACAGGTTCCGAGTGGCCACTTCCGGTAGCGTTTCGAAAAAATTCGAAATATAATGAAAATTATTAATCGATCACTGACAGCGTTTCCCTCACATTTTTAGATTTTTTTTTTTTTGTGAGCCAGCACCTGATTAAGGGAGTCTATAAAAACAGACCATACACCAAGGGAAACTCAGTTGGCGTATGAATTCCGCGTTGTCAACTCAAACAGATTACTAATCAACTGAAACAACATTTCTCGATTTTCTGATGCAGATTCTACAATAAAACCAAGGTACGGACTTTTCCCTATTCAAGAGGTTTTATCATTAAACACACCTCAATGTGTGTCTGTCAACTTTTCCATTTCTTATGGACTTCAAACACATCTCAATGTGTGTTTGCGAACTTTTCTATTTCTTAGGGACTTCATTAAGCACACCTTATTTTAAAGGGTTTATTTTATTAAATACACCCATTTCAATTGTTTTTTTTAATTAAACACACCTAAATGTGTGTATGTTAACTTTTTACTTTCAAGGATGTATTTACATACCTTAAATGTGTATATGTGAACTTACCCTTCTTTTTAAGGGTCTTATTATATTCACCACACGATGTATAAAACATCTAAATAAATTGTTATTTGTTGATAAATCTTTATCTTCAGTTTCTTTTTAAATTCACTTGTTTAAATGCATTGCTTCACCATTTCGTTGTTACGTCTGTTTCTATGTACGTTGAGTCATGAGTGTTTTATTCCGGACAGAACCCAGAAAAATTAGCAATTACTGCAGTCACTGCTACTACCTTAAACGAGTTAGCACCAACAACGTATCACCTTCTGCACCTCAATAACGAGTCTATTACAAAGAGATCTACTCGGAATTGGCTGATATAATATGTATATCGATTTAATATGTATATCGATAATGAAAACATAGGGATAGGTTTTTTTTTAGCTTCGAACAACGACTACTGGTGCCAGGAAGAGATATTCAATTGCAATGAATATGAAAAGTGTATATATATATATATATATATATATATATATATATATATAATTATTTATATATTATATATATTATATGCGTACTTATTAGAAAGCGCTCAATATCAGAGATAGAGCTAACATATTTGGTTGGATTGATGTGAGTTTGTGACCCTGGGTTTCACGCTTTTGCGATCGTCAGACAAACTGATTATTTTTTTTAAATTTTGGGTTTATGTAGATTGCGTGTATTGGTGTTAATATGGAAGTGGAGGGAATCGTCGTCGTAATGTCACTCATGCTAACGCAAACATAGATGCATGTCTGTACACCTGATGAGGTACGCAAACATACACTCGCTCGTCCGCCGGGACTCATACAGACATAAACATATGTGGACAGTATATATATATATATATATATATATATATATATATATGCTGTATCAAACTCTGGGGAACGCTGTTAAATGTACAATCCAAGAATACTTTTACAAACTTTGGGGTCAGGTCCCTGAGATCAAAACAAGGTAAAATGTACATATAAACATATATCCAAAAGGCCATCGTTGTACCTAAACACAGCAACTCATAACAAATGTTCAAAATGTCCTCCGCTTGCTTCTACACACGCATGCACCTGTCGGCTCACCCTTTCAAAAACTGGCTGACCCTTTCAAATACTCCCACACGGTGTCAAATGGTGTCGCACGCCTCCATAACACATTGATGAAGCGTCTCTGCATTATTAATGTCTGCTGCATAAACGAATTATTTTAGGTGACCCCACAGATAAAAATCCAAAGGACTGAGGTCAGTGGAACATGCAGGCCATGGAACCGGTCCAACGTTTAGTGGTCGGGTCCTTATGGTCTTGGGACAATGTTTTAGCCACAGGTCTAACTCTGCGCTGGTCAATACTGGCGCTGGTTCACACTGGTTGTTGGTCGCTGCCCGTTTCGATGGACACCAACTCTGTCTACGTTGTGTTCTTGATCTCAGAGCAGTGGAAGAACGAATGTTATATTAATCGAAGCGCTGGTTCGAGCCATGGAAGGCGTTATATTAAGGAAAAAATATCTTCACAGCGAAAAATAAAAACTAATGATTCGTTTGGTTAATCTTCAATTGGTACTAGTTCCTTCCCGCATCAATTTCTGTAGTGGCACTGTGCCTCGCCTAAAATTAGGGGTTCAAAGTTCTTTAGAATCAGATTTGGTGGTAGCTGACCTGGATTCCAGAGGCACACGATGCGGGATTCGCAGCGCAAGTCTTTGAGCTCTCAAAGCTAGCTGCTTATATGTACTTCAGCCCCAAACCGGCGTGGGATTCGGTGATTCCTAATTTTTACATTAATCGCAATAAGGGTTCTTTGTTCCCTATGTCTACTTCCTTAATCAACTTTCTAAATTTGGAGAATTATCCACCTTCTTGGGAGTAGTTGCAAGGATTACTCCTCCCTTAAACCCCAACTTGCTTCACTTTACATCTCGTACCATCACTCCATACAGGTGGTGCCAAATTCTTCCTCTTTCCCCCTTCCTTCTTAGCATTCAAACTCTAATTTTTAAAGCGTGTGGGTGAAAGGGCGTAGTTTTATTCTAGTCATTAATTTTAATTCTCTTGATTCCTGAAGAAAGAGATAAAATTATTTATCAATTCTTTTGTCTAACGAAAATATAAACCAGATCACCTGCTCGTCAGCGACAGGGCCTGTTTTCATAACTTCGACCCTCAAAAATGTTTCATTCTAAATTTCCAAGCGAGAGACAAAATTATTTCCCAATTTGTTTTCGCGTGCAAAAACAAAATCCAGATGTCTCTCTCTCTCCCTCTCTCTCTCCCTCTCTCTCTCTCCCTCTCTCTTTCCCTCTCTCTCCCTCTCTCTCTCTCTCTCCTGCCAACGATATTAATTTGCGATATTAATTTGCCTAAATTTTCCAGCAAGAGGTAAAATTATTTCTCAATTCCTACACTTACCTCTGTCCAGCGCAAATATAAACCAGATCACTGGTGACAGGACATATTTTCATATCTTTCGCCCTATCGTACATTTGACCCTCAAGAAAAAAGTTTGTTCTCATTTAAATTTCCGAGTGAGAGACAAAATGATTTCCCAAACTGTTTTCGTTCGCAAACACATAATCCAGATCTATCTCTCTCCTGCTAATGATAAAAAAAAAACTTTAGGAGAGAAGAAATCCTGATGGCCCCATTTCCACCAAGGAAAATGGTTCCACCCTCTTTTTTTCTCTCTCGATCTTTCAGCTTATATTCCATTTAACATTTAACCACTTTGTGGTCTTAGTGTCAAATTAACAGGTGTACGTCCTCTAACAGGTCTGGAAATGTGTTCGAAATAAAGTCCCTATAGACAGTTCCTGTAAGACGTGCTGGGAGAACATATGAACCTACCAGCCACACATTTGCAGCTATGCAGCTCAGTACACAAGGATGGATGTACTGCGTTGTGGCACGTGTTTAAACCCATCTGTAATCTGTGATACATTCGCTCATCTGCTGGCTTTTAAATTAACGGGAAAACCTTCATTCGCTTCCCTCGTCGATATGTCTTGTTCACTAAATGTCTTGCCGACGGTTGGTAATTTTCCTCCGATATGTATTCACAATAACTGAACGCGAGCACTCGACAAGCTGTGCCATTTTGAATATGCTCTGACCTGTTCTTTTGGCCATAACAATTTTACAAAGTCACTTAAATCTCGTGTATGTGTATGTGTGAGAGAGAGAGAGAGAGAAAGAGAGAGGGAGAGAGAGGGAGATTTCACTTCTGATACCAGACATGGTTTCAGGGTCATCATTTATAATAACTTTTTGGGCAACCTCGTTGTACAACTAATACATAATAATGTTAATTCATTTGGGTGTAATTCTTGTAAAATGATATTATGGCGGCTTTGTACAGACCCCCGAGAACATTCAATTAACATTGGTTTTTAATACAATCCTTAATATAATCTTATTTTTTTGCTATCTCACTTCATTCATTGGAACCAAACGTTGTAGAAAAGTTAAGAAAAAATAACGTTTGAAATTTGTCTTTAATGATTCTTAAGAATTCCAAACATATCCAAATACAAAATATATTTATGAAATTATTAATATTAAAACAGTCATGAAGTAAATGTGTTATCTCAAAATAGTTTGAATTGACTACAGTGTAACCCGGATATAAGAGAGTTGTTTCTCTTATATCCGGGTCTCTTATATCCGAGTTACACTGCATTTATATTTGTGAAGCAGGAACAAAAGCCAAATGTATAAATTTTAACTAGTAGCTTTGAAATGTGCTATTTTCAGAAGTCATCATTTAAATCCCTTCCGGTTTGTTTCTGAAATTAACAATTCGATGTGAATAATTTTCTTTCTTTCTTTCTTTCTTTCTTTCTTTCTTTCTTTCTTTCTTTCTTTCACCAATGATAATGAATGAAGAAAATTGTCAGTTTCTTTCCTTTTAAGTTCATTTAAGCGTTTGGGTGCGTACTATGGCGTCTCGTAGACCTTTTCGCTAGTGCAGTGAATTCAGTCTTTACTGAGTTCTCATCTACTTGAGCATTATACCAAACTAGCCTGAATTTAGTAAAAGAAGAGTTGAATTGTTTGGTAGTTTGACCGGCAAATTGGAAACAGATAATTTTCTTCCCTTTTTTTCTCCGATATTAAAACAGGATTTAATTAATTTTTTTTTTCATGAACGCAATCCCCATAATAAAATCGAGATAGTTAGAATAAGGAAATAAATATTAAAATTTTCATGAGATTCACATTTCTTAATAATAATATTAACCCGTTATCGATGAGATGTTGCCACTTGCCAGTATATTATCCTCCGAAATTTGGTTGTAAATTTCACTATTTCAGAACTGTTAAAACAGAAATCAACAATGAAGGACAGTAAATCGCTAGTACCAAGGTTTTCATATGGTGATTTTCTAAATGTAGCTTAGATATGGCACAAGGCCGAAAGTATGGGTGAGGCTCAAATTCTTTACTCAGTCGTAATTGTTCTAGCGAGACAAGCTTGCTAACCACTACACGCCGAGACGCCCCCAAGGTTCTCATATGAACAAATTTTACTTTCCGTAGATGCCAGGCTATGTCACTCTTTTCCGATGATTAGACGCTGGAATGTTGTATGAATAAAACAAGTACTACGTGTTTAACGGGTTAATCTTTTCGGACATTCCAGTTCTCTCAAGTGTCTATGGTAAAAAGTTATAAAAGAAAGGAACATTCAGATTGATCAGTATTTGCAAATATATATATATAAATTCTTTTTCACATTGTCTGTTTTTATATTTACTGGGAAATTTTCACTTATAGATATGTCGCATGACATTCAACATATAAATAATGACATTCCATGTCGTAAGATTTTAAATGTTTCCCAGTGTCATGTTTTTAAGTTTAAGAGAAGAATGTCTCATTATAACACGTAACGAGAAGCAAACATTATACTTGCAAGAACATGATCAACTTAAATGACAAGACAAACTTTACAAAAAAATACATAACTTAAAACAATAAATGAAAAAAAAAACACGTTGAGAACTGAAAAGATTGCCTAACGATTCACGGTTTTATTATGCACATGATTTTTGCAATATTTTAATGTCTCCTGTTGCCATAACAAAGGAATATCTCATTATCTCAAGGAAGATAATGATACAGGATAAATAAATATTCAAGTTATTGTTGTTTATATATTAGAACATGTGAGTAATGAGGAAGTTTTCAGGAAAATGGAGTCAAAAAGCATATTTGTAGTTATAATCTAAAATAGTTGAAAATTTCTGCGAAATATAATGAAAAGAGAAGAGTTGAAAAATATTTCACTCATATGGCATACTGAAGATAATAAAACTGCTCTCTTTTAATCGTCTGAGAGAACTCTTTTTTGTCTTCCGCCAGAATGGCTGATGCTAACCTCCAGGAGAGCGACTAATTGCGCCTTCTCAGACTAACGTTTTCCGTTAAATGGAAATATTATATTGATTGATTATATTGATAGGTCTTCTGCTAGGAAAGTTGGGTCACTGTGTCGTGCTAGACAGTATTTATCACCAGAATCTATCTTATATGTTTATACGTCTGCCATTCTTCCATTTTTGAATAGTTCTGCTGCTACATCTGGCCTGGTGCTTCTGCGATATATTTAGATATTTTTGATAAAATCCAAAAAAGAATTTGCAATGTTATCAGTTTTTACCTGGCATCTTGGCTTCAGTCACTTTCCCATCTCCGTAACGTAGCTTCCTCGTGCCTTTTTTTTAAAATACTTTCACAGTAATTATCCTGATGAACTTTCCTCTTGTACCTAGGCTTTATGAATTTAAGCACAGTACTAGATTGACGACAAGGTCTCATCATTTTACAGTTGAAATGGTTAGATGTAAGCGTAAGTTCTATGCTAACCGTTTCTTTTTTCGCACTTCTCGCTTTTGGAACTCTCTCCAAGTTTCTTGCTTCCTAGTCAACTTTGAACAACAAAAATGTAAATGCTATGTCAATCGTTATCTTCTGTCTTCTTAATTCTTGTTCTTTTATCGTTCTCTCTCCTTAAAAGTGTTTTCTTTCATATTCGCTCATACTCAGTTCCCCCCCCACACACACACACACACTTGCGTCTTAGTGGCTTTATTGCTTTGATTGGAGTGGAATGATTAAAAAAAAGAGGTACAGAGATAAACAGTGAATAATCTCCATAACAATGTTGTGTAAATGAATTGCTGGTTAGGTACTGGAGGTTGGGTAAAGAGACGAATATTACTTAGAGTTACAAAAGATAGAAAGTTGTGAAGAAACATGATCACCTACGCCGTGAGGGGACATGGCACATAAAAGAAGAATATCATTAGATTTTCAGTAAGTAACAAGTTTCTCTTCTATGTTCTTGCTACCTTCAATATTGCTGTGTGGTTTGCAACGTTTCAGTTCTTCCAGTTTCTTTGACAAGATCTCTGGAAGCGTTCGCAGTTATCCCATTATAATTAGTTTACTTCATTAAAACAGATCTTCTTTAACAAGAAGTAACAAATTTCCTGCTTTGTATAAATTTACTATATTCCAGGTTTTCCTTTGCTGTCAATAGATTGGAGTGGTCACCTTTTTGATTCCCACGTTCTCGATCATCCCATTTTTTTACATCTATAATTAACATATTTACAGTCTCCTGATAGACAACTTTTACAGGCGACTTAGATACAATAAGCTAATAAATTCCTTCAGTTGTTGTATTGTATAGTTAACATTAATCAACTGCGGAGTACGTCTACATAATGGCATCAGATCAAATACGCTGGAAAGAAACTGAAACGAATACTGACAAGTAAGATAACTCATGTTGATTACTATATTCATTATTTTTCGTATATTCATTTTTGTATGTAAGGTCATCTCTCTCCCCCCCCCTCTCTCTCTCCCTCTCTCTCTCTCTCTCTCTCTCTCTCTCTCTCTCTCTCTCTCTCTCTCTCTCTTATCGAACTTTAATCAAAAGCAGGCGGCGCTCAACTTATTCGAAAAAATATTCCAAGTACCCAGGAAATAACTTAGGAAAAGAATTTGCATGAGATTCGTCCCTTTTGAGAAAATATTTACCGGGAATTAAGCCCCATGTAAAAAAAGAAAAGAAAAGGAACTATGTTTTTTGTGCTTTAATTGAAAAGAGAACGATTTCTCAAAAGGCAAAACAAGTGTTTTCTTTGTATGACATTACGATGCGCACGTAAAGTTATTGAAAATTTTCACGTGAACAATAAACAAACATGTTGTTTACATGTACACAACGCATGCGTTCATCTATATAAGTTTTATGACATTATGTGTGTAATAACAACTCTAATGAAGCTTTATTTGACTAGTTCAGCTTTAGCGCTATTGTTACAAGTAAGTGAAAGGAGAAATGGGATATGATTATTTTATTACCACAGTGAGCATGAACTCATATGTGAAACATATAGCTCGTGATTGGATTAATTCAGAGATCAAGACTTAAATCTTGAATTAAGGTCTGTTGATCTCTTGAATAATATCATCTACTTTCTACTACGATCTTCTATACACACCCTCCGTTCCGTCAAAAAATGTACTGTACTCATAAACTATGTTGCTCTGCATTTTCTTGTTTATAGTCTTGGATAAACTACTAAAAATAAAATTAAGTAAAAATATGACAATTAGTATGACAATTTATCTACAGAGCTAATCGCAATTTAAGAGTTCCTTTTTTAATACAATGTTTACAGTGTAAAATTTCAAATATAAATACATCTGTTAAGTTAAAAAGACATAATGAATAAAAACAAAACAAAAGGAAAACTTTTCTTTACAGACGCGTCTCGTCCATATACTAAAGGACTTTATCCAGGTACATGTAAAAAAATGTCTTCAAAAATTTAAATTTAAGAACTCTTTAAGAATGTTTCTCTAGTATAAACATTCGGTATTTTTTGCATGTGCAATTCTACCTTCTCTATAAAGTCTTCCGGTGATGTCTTATACGTCCCATGATTGTGTTTAAATTAAAAAGATATTTGAAATAACGATATTTGCATTTGTTTTCAAAAACATTATGATATTGATTTATGTTCCAAAATGTGATGCGAATTAACATCAATTATGAAAATCTCCTATGTGTTAGTCTTTTATTCAATCAAATATTGATAATCGATCTCTACACACATCATATTTTCAAATTTAAGTTAATCATCACGATTCGAAATTTACTGATGCATCACATTGCGTGTGTTCGCGCTGTACCAAATTTCTCAGCAACATCTTTTGCACAATGGCAGGGAAAAATAAGAAATGTCTTTACTCTTTAGTCAACTGAAGTACGTTAATTAATTCAAATTGCAATAAATAGAACAAATTCAGAGGACGAGAAAATGGGTTCCACATGAGCTTACATAAATGTGATTAACATTTAAATGCATTCCTTGCTTCATGCAGAAAATATCAGTTATAACAAGATAATTGTCGGTAATTAAAATAAAGGTGGATTAACTACGAAAATCAAAACAAAGAAATAATGCCAATATATCCATTACTACTTTTAACATTTCGGCCGAAATGTGACAAGGTATTTTTTGTGTTTGGTGTCTCAAAGGTCATTCTTCATTACAAATTGCTGGAACTCAAAATATTGCTAAACAGTCAATAAAGAAGATAAAGTTAGTTTTTTATTTATTTATTTATTTGTGTAATCCACATACTCAAAAACGCAGCGTATGTTTACGCTGTTCACTGAAAAATGCTACAAACATTCGTTTCAACCCAACATAAGATACGTCTACGAAACTCTGGAGTCGAGGTAGTAAACGTCAACCAGATAAGTGAAAATTTTTATTTGTAATAATCCTATATATATATATATATATATATATATATATATATATATATATATATATACATTTCACCCCAAGCAAGGCGATAAAAGCAAATAAAATATAAGGGGTTAATAAGATAAAAGAACAGGATTAAAGGAGACAGAAAATGGTGATTGACATTACATTTAAATTTTTAAAGATCGTAGTTGACAGGAAACCAGGAAGCCAGAAGAGACTTCCACAAGTGAGAAGTGTGAGAGAAGAATCTATTAGCATAGAACTTACAGTTACAACTCGCAATTTCCACAGTGAAATTATGAGACTTATCTGCCAATCTAGTACTGCGTTTAAATTACCAAAGAGGAAAACTCATAAGAAAAATTGCTGTGAAAATATTTATAGAAAAAGTACAGGGAAACTACGTTACGGCGAAAGAGATAACAGATCAGGACCAGTAACATTGAAGATTCTTCTTTAGATATTGTCAAGAATCTCTAGGAATATAGCAGAAGCACAAGAACAAATATGGTAGCAATATTCGATGCACAGACGAATAGTAAATGTGTGTGTTTGCGTGCATGCGTGTTTATAGCTTAATCCGCAAAATCAGACATTGAATTCATACAAGTAATGTTCCCATTTGGACCGATTAAAGGCAGCAATCAATGAAAAGCGTCCGGAATTGGACAATCAGAAGGGCGTCGTCTTCCATCAGGACAACACCAGACCTCACAGAAATTGCTACAGCTTGACTTAGATGTCCTACTACATCTGCCCTACTCACTTGATCTTGCATCTTCAGATTGCTACATTTCAGTTCCAACAAAATGTTATTAATGGGAAGAACTTCAGTTCTCTGGAAGCCTATAAAAAAATCTAAGATCAGTTCATCACCCAATTCTGGGAATATAAAGCCATGAAACTGACTTAAAGATAGTGAACGATAGTGGAACAAAATGGCACATATATAGTTGAATAAATTCTACTTCGCCCATGTGATAGAGAAAAGATGAATTCGTGCCTTTTTAAGGGTATTTACGAGATAGTGAACACAATATACAAAGGCGGGATGCTGATATACTTTACGCGGCGATATTCGTTAAGCTACCCGCGGCGATATCCGTTAAGCTACCCGCATATACTTCTTGTATACGTTTGCTAATATTTAACTCGGTTTATCATTATAATTGTTGTCATTTTTTAAGAATTGAGGATTTTAATATTTTAAGTCAAATAATTAAGTGCTCAGATATCTAAAGTTACTATCAAATTAATGTGCATGAATGAAATTAATACTAGTAAAATCTACACGATCTAGCATTTAAAAAAACCGGTTAGTCTAGTGTGCAGTATCTGATCAAAGCAAACAGGCTGTAACAAAACAGCTTCAAAGATGATTGTGAGACAAGAATAATTTCTTCAGCAAGAACATTTCACATCAATAAACGACGTATGTGTCACGTGTTCTCATTTTAATGCATGGCCGTTTAAGTGAAGCAAATTGTGTGCTAATGAATGCGTCAACACGCAGGTATAAAAATGATAAGTGGTCGGTTGAAAGGTGAAAATTGCTGCAGAAAAAAAGTTGATTAATTGTTTGTTTTTTTTACGGCTTATTCACTATTTTGCTAGTTATGTAAAGCTAGAAGACATTTTTAAATTGCAAGAGGTTTTTTGGAGATACTAATAATTTACTGATACAATTCCTATTAGTTAACTCATAGCTGGGGGAGAAGAGGCGGATTCATACTTTTCTCAAGGGTATTTGCGTGTAAGTTAATATAACGAACTCGACTGGAACTGGAACTCAGCTTTCTGATTTTCAATTCCGAACGGTTATCCATTAAACCACCCGCACATCTAAGTTTACAGTGCCTGGTATCCCAAGCAGACACTCATCTAGGTACTGATCAGGCTCAATCGGTGTTTCAACGTGATATGGCCGTAAGGCTTGAAAAAGAGTGACAGAGATGAAGTTGTTCTTAAAAGCGCCAATAATTGAAAAGAGTATGTAATGAAATTACATTTTTAAAATATAAAATTTAAAAGAATGTTTTCAACTGATTTGTCGAATTATTATTATTATTATTATTATTATTATTATTATTATTATTATTATTATTATTATTATTCTGTTCTTTTAGGGCGTGGCTCCCCATAACTTCTTATTCTTTGTAGCTCTTAGCAAGGTTTGTCTTTTCACCTTCCTTCCCAGACCCTGTTCTGCCATCGGTTTACACAAGCTCGTCTGGTACGTTGTTTACTACATTCTTCTGTCCTTCTTACCTTTAGTATGTCCTGTAAGTCAAATTCTCCAAGCTGTCTTTCCTCATCATGTGTCCTAGAAAGTTAAACTGTTTCTTTCTTTTTCTACGCGTCCATTTTTGTTTCCATTTTCCTTAATAATTTCCCTTGTTACTCACGTGTTCAGTCCATGGTATTTACAGCATCCTTTTGTAGAACCATATATCCGTTGCCTCGAGTTTCTCCTTCATCTGTAAAGATATTGTCCAACATTTACATCCATTGAAGAAGATTGCTATCACATAAGTTTAGTACTCTTTTCTTTGACTCTAACGAAATTTTCCTTTTTCTTAATACTCTGCTTAGCTTTTGGAAGCCTCTTTCGCTATTTCAATGTACGTTCAAATTTCGGTGCTACATTTTCTGTTCGCTGTTAAAACACTTCCAAGATATATAAAATTACGTACTTTCTTGGTTTTTCTTCTCCAATTCGTAGTTTGTTTCTTGGGATGTTCATTCTAAGTGTGTTTTTTATCTGTTAGTATTTGAGAATTTCAACAAAAATTTTCGTTTGTTATTGATGAATAACATGTTTCAAGTCAAGAAAACAAAGGGATAATTTAAAGTAAAATATATTTTTTTAAAAATTGATATCTATAATCACTTGGCGTTTAATAAAATTTTGCACTCGTTTTAATATTAACCAAAGAAGTACTTTTTTTCAAATAACTAGGATTCATTTCTTGCAATAATACTTGACTCTGCAGATAAAAAAAATGACTATTTTAACTTTTTAAAAATTACTGGAAACTGGACAAACTACGTTTTCATCAAAATACCTTTTTTCGTTTTATGTTTTTTTTTTTTTTTATGAAGTAAAAAGTAACGTTTAAAAATGGTGGAACACTGAATTATTTCTATTTCGTAGCTTACATTTGTAACAAACAAATAGTGGTATTTCTGTGTTTTTATGTATTTTATTTTTTTATTTTTTTTTTGAATCAGCCAACCTGAAATGTGTATCGAATTTGGAAAGTGCATTTGGACATAATGGGGAAAACTGACTTGGAATTGAAAATATCTTTGGGTCCTGTGCTAAATGAAACAAAGAAAACAAAGAAAGAGGCTTCATGGTGGATGCATGATTGATTACGGTTTATCTATAATTCATTTTCGCTCATGAAGTAAAGAAGTAATTCGTAAAAATGCGAATGTAAAGATTGTATAATGTGTATAATACGTAATATAGATAATGCCGACATTGTAAAATAATACTTTTCCCCAAAGATTTTATTAGCCGGAGAGTTATCTGATAACGTAATATGAGATCCCTCCTTGATGTTGGTTGTGAAAAGGATCGACGAAACTAATAGCAGCAATAGGTACGCTGAGATTAAACAAATAAATGACCAACTAAATTTAGAGAAGTAAAGAAAGTGATTGAATGGGACGTATGGCTCATTAATTAGTTATCCTAAGTTCCAATTAATACGAGGGATCTTCAATATAAGCCACGCGATTTTAACTGTAGAGCAGAGTGCGAAAAGTTTCCTGTATAAAGAATTTGCTCTTGTGCAAAGAAGAAAAGGATTTTTATTTGAGAATTTTCGACTGTAGAAAAGATACACTGAGGAAGAATTAAACACCATCTTTGGTTGTAGACACGAAGCAACAATTCTCCGACTGTACTAAGCTAATTACAAAACTAACGAACCAGTGAAGGTTGACCACATGAGAACTGACAAATCGACTGTAGTTAAAACCACAGCGCTACTGAACGGGAAAGGGTTAACGTGGAAACTTGGAATCTTAATCGAAATGAACGCATTGTTTTTGTTATTATGAACAGGAGTTTTTCGTCTATCCTGCAAATCACTTTCACTTTCTTGTGACTGGATTCATTTGACTCGACTTACGTTTCAACCACTTTCCCCGAAAATCTCTTCAGATCTAAACTAAGCACAGTGTGGGTAAAAATGCCGACTCGCAAAGAGTGACTAAACTGTGAAGCAGAGGGACTTGTCATACACCAAACGAACCGTCAGTTGTTCACATTCATCAACTAGAAACCTGCCCACCATTTCAGGGCCTTATCCAGGACGAATGTTTCTGTACGGGCGACTCCAACAGAACTAGATGGGTTCAATCGGTGAACAATTTGCGAAAAAGAATTAATGTTAGATAAAGACAAAATGTCTAGATAAAAAAGGAGAGCTCAATAGCTTTGGATAATTAAACATAGTTACTACCATGGTATGCCCCATACTCTACTGTTTATAACTTATATTCATGCTATATTTTAATCTCTTTCCAGCATGACCCAAAGACTAAATGAGTCGATAACGAGGAGATTGAGTCTTCCTATGAAAGCGCTAAAGAAAAAAACAGGTAAGAATCTTAAGAAGAATGTTTTTATTTGGCTTGTTTAAAAAACTTATCTGTATGCTATGTACATCTAGAACAAGAGTCGGCAATCTTTTTTGTGGACCAAATCGCATAAATTGTGTTGACAGTGAATCAGTTAAGTCCTATAAAAGTCTTGAAATATGGGAGATTCATTTAAACACAAATTTTACTACGAATCATTAACTAGGTCATGCTAGAAAATAACTTGTATTTAACCAAGCATGCCAATTTGTAATCAAATTTCTCAGTTTAGTCGTATTTTATTTAAAACAGGGTATATTTTGAATCTATTAAAAAGCGACAAAGAATATTTATAAGATAAAAGTATACACACAATGAATTCAATGGTTATAAATTAAATTTGATAAAAAAAGAAAATTGCCTAATTCAATTGCAGGGTCAATGAATCAATATGTACTTTTTGTAACGCCATGTACCTTTAGGGTGTGGATGATCATGATTCTCCACACATATCTTTTCTTTATTATTTGAGAATTGACATAGAGTTGTCTTAGACAGAGATCCAAATCTCCTTGGTATTTAATCCTATAGTTAGGGAGAAAAGACACGGGCGCATGCTTTTCACAAGAACCTTAGTTCAAAAGTGAATGTAGCAGACCAAGTTGAAATTTGAACTTGGCTCGCCGATTCCACTTTCTGTTATGCTACCTGTTCAGCTATAAATGTATATACTAGTGCTTAATCCGAAACACAATGGAACTTGGAGCCAGTGTAACAAAACGACTTGCATGATCCATCAGCAGTGGACATATGATGCATTCAGAAAAAGGAAAAAATCGTTCATGGGCCAGAAAATAATAGATACCAATATTTGTTGATGAGTTGATCAAAAACACTTCGCAAACCGAATGTAGCTTGCATGTTGTAGGTTGCCTACCTCCGCTCTTGAACTATATTCCTGTGTTTTCTTATAACATTTTCTTTTTCACTATAAAAATAGTATTTAAAACTACTTATGGTGTTTTCCGCCTAATTTTTATTAGCTACTGGAACTTGGTTTCAATCCTATCTTTTTTGAAAGCATTTTTTTTTATTTTATTTTATTAAGATATCCGCTACAGTGGTTGGTAGTAAAGCTTAGCGCCATCAGAGAAGCGTTTGATTAGTTAGAGAGTTTTGTGTTTGGTACTAATGTCCAAGCTCTGAGACGGTTTAATTTTTTCCAACTAAGAAAAACAAATTTTAAATCAGCTTTCAACCTTAGAAAAAGCTGCAAATCTGTTTTTGCTAAACTATAAAAAGAAAGAGAATATTGATTCTTAGACAAGTGAATCTGTTTCCGGAATTATCAAATTTTCATCAGTTCTGTTGAAAATATTTAAAACTACAGTGAGTTTAACATGAAAGTAGGTTTTCTCTCACTCCACTATAAAAATATGTTAATATTTTCCCTAATTCAGAGACATTTAGGTTCAAAGGGATCAAAACAATTCTCCTTTAGAAAAAAAATCTTCAGACAAACAGACTTAATCTGCAAGAAAAAGCTGTGCTTACATGATACTTTGTTTTAGATATTTAATAAATTTTGCTTTGTACGATCCGAGTTCAAATAAAGAACTCAGGTGAGGGTGTATTAAACCAGTCTTCCAAATACAGTGGTTACCTGTCTTAAAAATGAATGTCTGGCGTCTTTCACTGGAGATCAAATGTCAATTCTCCAACAATCTCCTCACAATCCTACCTGGATGGCTTTGATTCATCCTCAGATTTTTTAATTCTTGCAATATGTCTCTAAGAATCTTCTGGACTATTCCAAGCACAAAACTAATGATGGGTACAATTGTCATCTTCATACATTACATTTTTTCAGTTATTATTATTTGTTACTACTACTATTATTATTATTATTATTATTATTACTACTACTACTACTTAATTCTACAATAACTTCACAATTCTACCTAGATTTCAATTCTTCCTCAGATTTTCCATTCTTGCAACCTGTTTGTATGAATCCTATTATTAGAGCTTGTTACTAATACTATTATTATTATTATTATTATTATCATCTTTGTCCATATCACACTAAAATAAAAAATAATTGTTAAAAACATTAAATCCATTAATAAATAATTAAAATACTAAATTCTTGAACAAAAAAAAGCAATAATTCAAAGAAATAGAAGAAACACTAAAAAATAAGGATAATGAAGATATATTTTTATTCAACAGAAATTAAAGTGGATGAACCAGAAGAATTTCGGATCCCGTCTGATGGCAACATTTATGGCTTTGATGTTGAACAAATGCAAATCTTCTTCTCTTGCTTCAACCTGGAATCACGTCTATTAGATCATTTACGAGAAAAGAAAGTTGATGGCCGAAGGTTTTCCCGGTTGACAGATTCCGATCTGGACAGGATCGGACTTCAAAATGTCGTCATGTGTTACTTTCGTGACAAGAGCAAACGGGTCACATCCAAATTCATGCTTTGAATGTGGACAATGTTGATCTTGGTCAATAAATTGAATTGTTTCATTGATTTGTTAAGTTTATCGATTAGAATCTGAAAATATGTCTTTCTCATAATTGGTTTGAAAGCAAAGATACTGTCTTTTCTTTAACTGAAACAAGTGAATAACCGTTAAAAATATATTTATTTTTATAACAAAATATCTTGTATTATCAAATACTTTTTTTTACATTTATTGTTTACTTTCTTTACATGGTTCCATGTTCAGGATATGCATTTAAAACCTATAACCTTTTGTCGATGATAATCAGTAAAATAATATTAAAAGCAAAAGAGAAAAGAGAAATTTCAAATTTGATTAGTGATACTGTGTGTATGAGAGGGAGAGTATGGAGAGTGAGAGAGAAAGCTAAAGCGACGTGATATTTTTTTGGTTTCTAAGAATTTAAAAGAAAGTGTTTCCTTCAATAATTCCATTCCTACATTGTCGAGAAACTGAAAGCTTTAAACTAGCCAACCCACTTAATTAATAACAGTTTCGATAACAGCACTCGTGTGGTAGTCAAAACTAAAGTAAGAAATTAAATTGTTTTTCACTACAGAATTAGTTTTTCTTTCATTCTCGCTATCATAATAAAAAAAAATGTTTTTACAAATTAAATTAGGTGATCTGTAATAGTAATTTCATATGAAATGCGGAAGGTCGTATTTATATTTTGGGGTTCGTTATCAAAATCTCAAAATAAATTCTATTCTTGCATTTGCTCATTTCCAAAGAATAAAGATGAAACTAAAACATTCCATTTTTAAAGTAAAACAGAAATTACATTCACTGGATAACAAATTAATTGCTAAAAATAAAAAATATTTGATGGCTGAAAATCAACGATAGCATGGAATTATTTCTTAAATATTTTTAGGTCCGTTGCCAAGACTGGCACCTGTACACTCCCCTAAAAATCATTTGGCTCCTACCGCGAAAATGATGTGGATTAATTTTAATGGGAAAATTCTTACACACGGCACCACCGACATAAAACGTCCCCTGAGTCAAAACACACACCTAAAAGTTTTCAAGGTTTACAATGGTGTCAAATTAAAACGTTTTTATACGCTTATTTTAATTAAAGAACAAAAAAAAAAAAAAAAAACTACACACAATTTGAAATAAAAATATTTTTTATGTTATTGCCAAATTAATTTTGATAACAAATTAAAAACATGTTTGAAGAGTTTTCTTGATAAAATGCATTTGGACAACCTTTACTAAATCATACAAGATAATTTATTTCACTGAAGACTAATTCTTATATGTCTGATTTTTTATTTCAGGAAAATATTTAACTATTCTTTACTGAAATACAGTTGTAGCAAAAATTAATATTTTCTATGTCATTAAAGAATTGTAACAGATTTACCCTAAGTTCGTATTATGTTTCGCTGCTTGTTAGTAATTTAAATCACTTTCGGTTGTTAATTAACGCGTATTAAGGTTAACATAATGTACAGTTTATATTAAAACTTGTTCTTATTGAATCACACCTAGCTCACAACTAAATTAACAAAGAGCGAGTTTGATAAAAAAAAAAAAAAAAAAGAATTATTAACAGAAAATACAAAATTTTAAGCTGTCTGCCAGAAATTGGTAAAAAATGGATAGCATTCATAAATGTTACAATTACGTCCGTGCGTTCTGAATAAAAACAAGTTAAAAAAAGAGGTCCCATCTGTTCATATCTGAACATAATTAAGTTACGTAACCAGTTTCGTGGTTTTACAGCCGAGATATAACCAACCTACGTATTCGAGTCGGAGTACATAATATCTTAAAGATCACATTTTAGCTCCTTTTTTTTTCTTTTTTTTTTTTTTATCCTAACCCATTTTAACAGAAATAAGAAATGTTCTTACACACCTTTTTTCCACTTAACGTTTTTAACCTATGAAAAGATCAGTGTCGCATATTCATGTAAGTAAAAACCTATTTTTGCTTTGTACCTTTTTACGCCGTATTTACTAACTTGTATGTCTAACAACTGTAACTGTTCTCTATTTGTATATCTAGTTTTTATTTTATATAAATTGTTTATTTCCTTCCAACCACGTCTTGTTTTCTTAATGTATCTATTTTTACAGCTTTACATTTCCACTGCGAGACCTTTCGGCGTCTTCAGACATTTGATCAAAAGAAAGAAAGAAAGAAAATAAGAGAGAGAAAAAGAATATTTTGACAAAAGAAAAATACTGGATTATGCTGAAAAATCAGAGATGTGAAAAGTTAAGTCGTACATTGATGTTATCAACTTGTAAGAATTACAGATACACAATTTCTTAACCGAAACATTTGAAAGTTAGATTCATTTCGGAATTCGGAATTTTGGGCCTTTTGTGCTAATACACACACAAAAAGAAAACAAAAAATACCGCCTTGTCGCGTTCTATCCACGTTATTTTATTTTATTCAGAACTGCTGAGGAGAGAAACAGCTACTTTGAATAAGCATCTGGTTCAAAGAAACATCTAAACAAATTTGCTACAATAAGTTAAAACAAAATAATGACTGGTGATGGATCAGTTGCACTGCAGGCAACAGCTAGATGAAGCTTCGAGACAAGGAGAAACTTCTTGAGTTTCATAGCGCCGATTTGAATTTAGAATTTTCTTTTTCATAGATTGGCAAGAGAACCCAACGTGTCCTACTATAACAGAGCTGGTGGATTAAGGAGAAATGGATTCAAGCATTTCACAAGGGCCTTAATGCAAAAGGGAGGTTTCATGAGAGAAGATAGTGGGCACAGAAATCAGCATTGAATGGTGATAATTAGTTTCACAATTTAAACGATCTTCAGAATATGTGCCACTACTCATATGGAGTTCACACCATGAGTAGTGATACAATTGAATACATGGTCAGAAGATTACTTGAAGCGTGAAATTGACTTTTACAACGTGCTGTTGATCTTTCCCCACACTTTCTTTCTTATATAAATGTTCTAACTCCAATAGTGAGCACTCTTTCACAATAAATATAGCAAATTTTTTTTCTTTCTCTCTCTCTCTCTCTCTCTCTCTCTCTATATATATATATATATATATATATATATATATATATATATATATATATATATATGTGTGTGTGTGTGTGTGTGTGTTTATTTATATATATATATATATATACGTGTGTGTATGTGTGTGTGTGTGTGTTTATATATATATATATATATATATATATATATACGGGTATTTGTGCAGCAATCCCTCTTTTATACTAGTTTCATTGAAGATGACTGACAAGGCACTGCGATTAAGCTTTTTATTAAATTTTTCTTGCATTCATACAAGTATTTTTTCTGGGCATAAAGTGTGTTAAAAAACTGTCCAAATATTCTATGCATCCGAGTACCCTCGGCTAGTCATTTAGCCTCTATCTTAATTTCAATTACATGCTGCCAATATTAGGAAATCTAAAAAGAAAACATCCAGTGGTGGGATTCAAAGATTTCAAGAACGGGTTCTCTTAACAACAGGTCTCAGTAGCAAAGGGTTCCCTCTTTTTGTCATAGTCTACTTTACTATAGAGATATAATTTAGGAATAAAGCAAATTTTTCTTGCATTTATTCAAAAATAACAAAATTAATCTCCATTACATTGTACGTTATCATTTTGAAAGGAAAATAATTAAAAGAAATTCTTTAAAATGTTTTAGTAATGATCTTTCATTTTAAAAAATTCCTAATAACCACTTGATTGTCATCATAGTCTTTAACTTTTTTTTCCTTACTCTGTTGTCATCAACAGTGATTTTTTTCTAAACCATGTTTTAACTACAAAATGAGTGACATCCTAAATCTAAAAGGAAACGAATAAAATTAATTGATTTAATTCCCATCAAGTTCGCTGCATTTTCCACTGTAAAGCGGCTCCTTTTATCCAAGTATATAATATTCATTCTTGAAAAAACTTTTTCTGTCTCGAAAGAACTGATGGCAATCGTATTGATAATATTTTTCGCTTTTTGTATACATTTATTTTAAGAATTACAGGATTATGAAAGTTTTTCAGGTGTAGAGGGACCGTGGCTGTTATGTTGTTGATAGAAGTCAGACGTAGAAGAAACGCATGTAAGGTTCAGATACTCCTGCCCGCCGGGCCCAACTACATAAAAAGGTTGGACTTTGATTAAGTCCAAAGAAGAAGGCAAAGAAAAGCAAACAAAACACAAGACCGATAATATATGTATATACAAATATATATTAATAACAAGTTACAATACATGGAAACAGTACAAAGGATGAAGTGTATGGGAATATTCTGTATGTGCGTGTGTGCGTGTGTGAATATTTGGTATGTGCGTGTGTGTGTATTGTGCTTAGCGTGTTTCCACGCTATCCCTTCTTAGCGCCTACATTTCGAGGTTGATAGCTGAAAACCTGATGAAAAGGGGAGATTTACCTCAAGGTGTCGGCGCACAGGCCTGAAGGAAAAAGAGATAGAGGCGAAGGGTCAGCGGCTATTTATAGCCAGGGAAGAGAGACCCCTGGTGAAAGGGTTAATGTACTAAAGGAGGAGTTAACTCCGACACAGGACATATCCTACATAGTCATGAAAAACATTGATGGGAATGTTATGATGAAAGTTTTTACTGAAGCCATTCAGCTTTTCTTCTGCAGCTTTCCAGGGAATAACTATTTCAGCAGTTCAAATATATATTAACCTTTATTCGATCACCTGAATTTACATCCACAACCGATTATGTAACTACAATGTGTAGACAATCTAAAATTAGCAGTTTGTTTGTTCGGGTTGCTGCTAGCAACGAGTTTGCTGAGCTCATTAAATTCCAAGAACAGTGTGAACTGGCTGAAACCCACCAATGAAAACATCCCCACCCTTATAGATACATATATATATATAAATCTACATAGAAGTTGCGCTGGATAAATTGTCGTCTAAATTATGCAAAAATTAAAATAACACTGACATCTCATTTTAACAGATTTATTTACCAAAATTACACAAAA